TGTGAAAAGATGTTCTAGGTGTGTAAAGATGGTCTAGGTGTGTAAAGATGGTCTAGGTGTGTGTAAAGATGGTCTAGGTGTGTGTAAAGATGGTCTAGGTGTGTGTAAAGATGGTCTAGGTGTGTGTAAAGATGGTCTAGGTGTGTGTAAAGATGGTCTAGGTGTGTGTAAAGATGTTCTAGGTGTGTAAAGATGTTCTAGGTGTGTGTAAAGATGGTCTAGGTGTGTAAAGATGGTCTAGGTGTGTAAAGATGGTCTAGGTGTGTAAAGATGGCATAGGTGTATGTAAAGATGTTCCAGGTGTGTGTAAAGATGGTCTAGGTGTGTGTAAAGATGTTCTAGGTGTGTAAAGATGTTCTAGGTGTGTGTAAAGATGTTCTAGGTATGTGTAAAGATGTTCTAGGTGTGTAAAGATGGTCTAGGTATGTAAAGATGGTCTAGGTGTGTAAAGATGGTCTAGGTGTGTAAAGATGTTCTAGGTGTGTGTAAAGATGGTCTAGGTGTGTGTAAAGATGGTCTAGGTGTGTAAAGATGTTCTAGGTGTGTGTAAAGATGTTCTAGGTGTGTGTAAAGATGGTCTAGGTGTGTGTAAAGATGTTCTAGGTGTGTGTAAAGATGATCTAGGTGTGTGTAAAGATGTTCTAGGTGTGTGTAAAGATGTTCTAGGTGTGTGTAAAGATGTTCTAGGTGTGTGTAAAGATGTTCTAGGTGTGTGTAAAGATGTTCTAGGTGTGTGTAAAGATGTTCTAGGTGTGTGTAAAGATGGTCTAGGTGTGTGTAAAGATGTTCTAGGTGTGTAAAGATGGTCTAGGTGTGTGTAAAGATGTTCTAGGTGTGTAAAGATGGTCTAGGTGTGTGTAAAGATGGTCTAGGTGTGTGTAAAGATGTTCTAGGTGTGTAAAGATGGTCTAGGTGTGTGTAAAGATGTTCTAGGTGTGTGTAAAGATGGTCTAGGTGTGTGTAAAGATGGTCTAGGTGTGTGTAAAGATGGTATAGGTGTGTGTAAAGATGGTCTAGGTGTGTGTAAAGATGTTCTAGGTGTGTGTAAAGATGTTCTAGGTGTGTAAAGATGGTCTAGGTGTGTGTAAAGATGGTCTAGGTGTGTGTAAAGATGTTCTAGGTGTGTAAAGATGGTATAGGTGTGTGTAAAGATGGTCTAGGTGTGTGTAAAGATGCTCTAGGTGTGTGTAAAGATGGTCTAGGTGTGTGTAAAGATGTTCTAGGTGTGTGTAAACATGTTCTAGGTGTGTGTAAAGATGTTCTAGGTGTGTAAAGATGGTCTAGGTGTGTGTAAAGATGGTCTAGGTGTGTGAAAAGATGTTCTAGGTGTGTAAAGATGGTCTAGGTGTGTAAAGATGGTATAGGTGTGTGTAAAGATGGTCTAGGTGTGTGTAAAGATGTTCTAGGTGTGTAAAGATGTTCTAGGTGTGTAAAGATGTTCTAGGTGTGTGTAAAGATGTTCTAGGTGTGTGTAAAGATGTTCTAGGTGTGTGTAAAGATGGTCTAGGTGTGTAAAGATGGTCTAGGTGTGTGTAAAGATGTTCTAGGTGTGTGTAAAGATGTTCTAGGTGTGTAAAGATGGTCTAGGTGTGTGTAAAGATGGTCTAGGTGTGTGTAAAGATGGTCTAGGTGTGTGTAAAGATGTTCTAGGTGTGTGTAAAGATGGTCTAGGTGTGTGTAAAGATGTTCTAGGTGTGTGTAAAGATGTTCTAGGTGTGTGTAAAGATGTTCTAGGTGTGTAAAGATGTTCTAGGTGTGTAAAGATGGTCTAGGTGTGTGTAAAGATGTTCTAGGTGTGTAAAGATGGTCTAGGTGTGTGTAAAGTTGGTCTAGGTGTGTAAAGATGTTCTAGGTGTGTGTAAAGATGTTCTAGATGTGTAAAGATGGTCTAGGTGTGTAAAGATGGTCTAGGTGTGTAAAGATGGTCTAGGTGTGTGTAAAGATGGTCTAGATGTGTAAAGATGGTCTAGGTGTGTAAAGATGGTCTAGGTGTGTAAAGATGGTCTAGGTGTGTAAAGATGGTCTAGGTGTGTAAAGATGGTCTAGGTGTGTGTAAAGATGGTCTAGGTGTGTGTAAAGATGGTCTAGGTGTGTGTAAAGATGTTCTAGGTGTGTGTAAAGATGTTCTAGGTGTGTAAAGATGGTATAGGTGTGTGTGTAAAGATGGTCTAGGTGTGTGTAAAGATGTTCTAGGTGTGTGTAAAGATGGTCTAGGTGTGTGTAAAGATGGTATAGGTGTGTGTAAAGATGGTCTAGGTGTGTGTAAATATGTTCTAGGTGTGTGTAAAGATGTTCTAGGTGTGTAAAGATGGTCTAGGTGTGTGTAAAGATGGTCTAGGTGTGTGTAAAGATGTTCTAGGTGTTTAAAGATGGTATAGGTGTGTGTAAAGATGGTCTAGGTGTGTGTAAAGATGCTCTAGGTGTGTGTAAAGATGCTCTAGGTGTGTGTAAAGATGGTCTAGGTGTGTGTAAAGATGTTCTAGGTGTGTGTAAACATGTTCTATGTGTGTGTAAAGATGTTCTAGGTGTGTAAAGATGGTCTAGGTGTGTGTAAAGATGGTCTAGGTGTGTGAAAAGATGTTCTAGGTGTGTAAAGATGGTCTAGGTGTGTAAAGATGGTCTAGGTGTGTGTAAAGATGGTCTAGGTGTGTGTAAAGATGGTCTAGGTGTGTGTAAAGATGGTCTAGGTGTGTGTAAAGATGGTCTAGGTGTGTGTAAAGATGTTCTAGGTGTGTAAAGATGTTCTAGGTGTGTGTAAAGATGGTCTAGGTGTGTAAAGATGGTCTAGGTGTGTAAAGATGGTCTAGGTGTGTAAAGATGGTCTAGGTGTGTAAAGATGGTCTAGGTGTGTGTAAAGATGGCATAGGTGTATGTAAAGATGTTCCAGGTGTGTGTAAAGATGGTCTAGGTGTGTGTAAAGATGTTCTAGGTGTGTAAAGATGTTCTAGGTGTGTGTAAAGATGTTCTAGGTATGTGTAAAGATGTTCTAGGTGTGTAAAGATGGTCTAGGTATGTAAAGATGGTCTAGGTGTGTAAAGATGGTCTAGGTGTGTAAAGATGTTCTAGGTGTGTGTAAAGATGGTCTAGGTGTGTGTAAAGATGGTCTAGGTGTGTAAAGATGTTCTAGGTGTGTGTAAAGATGGTCTAGGTGTGTGTAAAGATGTTCTAGGTGTGTGTAAAGATGGTCTAGGTGTGTGTAAAGATGTTCTAGGTGTGTGTAAAGATGTTCTAGGTGTGTGTAAAGATGTTCTAGGTGTGTGTAAAGATGTTCTAGGTGTGTGTAAAGATGTTCTAGGTGTGTGTAAAGATGTTCTAGGTGTGTGTAAAGATGTTCTAGGTGTGTGTAAAGATGGTCTAGGTGTGTGTAAAGATGTTCTAGGTGTGTAAAGATGGTCTAGGTGTGTGTAAAGATGTTCTAGGTGTGTAAAGATGGTCTAGGTGTGTGTAAAGATGTTCTAGGTGTGTGTAAAGATGGTCTAGGTGTGTGTAAAGATGTTCTAGGTGTGTGTAAAGATGGTCTAGGTGTGTGTAAAGATGTTCTAGGTGTGTGTAAAAATGTTCTAGGTGTGTGTAAAGATGTTCTTGGTGTGTGTAAAGATGTTCTAGGTGTGTGTAAAGATGGTCTAGGTGTGTGTAAAGATGTTCTAGGTGTGTGTAAAGATGTTCTAGGTGTGTGTAAAGATGGTCTAGGTGTGTGTAAAGATGTTCTAGGTGTGTGTAAAGATGTTCTAGGTGTGTGTAAAGATGGTCTAGGTGTGTGTAAAGATGTTCTAGGTGTGTGTAAAGATGTTCTAGGTGTGTGTAAAGATGTTCTAGGTGTGTAAAGATGGTCTAGGTGTGTGTAAAGATGGTCTAGGTGTGTGTAAAGATGTTCTAGGTGTGTGTAAAGATGTTCTAGGTGTGTGTAAAGATGTTCTAGGTGTGTGTAAAGATGTTCTAGGTGTGTGTAAAGATGGTCTAGGTGTGTGTAAAGATGTTCTAGGTGTGTGTAAAGATGGTCTAGGTGTGTGTAAACATGTTCTAGGTGTGTGTAAAGATGTTCTATGTGTGTAAAGATGTTCTAGGTGTGTGTAAAGATGGTCTAGGTGTGTGTAAACATGTTCTAGGTGTGTGTAAAGATGTTCTAGGTGTGTAAAGATGGTCTAGGTGTGTAAAGATGGTCTAGGTGTGTGTAAAGATGTTCTAGGTGTGTGTAAAGATGGTCTAGGTGTGTGTAAAGATGGTCTAGGTGTGTGTAAAGATGGTCTAGGTGTGTGTAAAGATGGTCTAGGTGTGTGTAAAGATGGTCTAGGTGTGTGTAAAGATGTTCTAGGTGTGTGTAAAGATGGTCTAGGTGTGTGTAAAGATGGTCTAGGTGTGTGTAAAGATGGTCTAGGTGTGTAAAGATTATCTAGGTGTGTGTAAAGATGTTCTAGGTGTGTAAAGATGGTCTAGGTGTGTGTAAAGACGCGGATAAAAGTTTGAACAGTTTTTAAATCTCCCAATGAGACAGCTGACAACACCAATAGGTCTGTAGTTGTGTGGCTGGGTTTGGCTGGGTGTGTAGTTGTGTGGCTGGGTGTGGCTGGGTGTGGAGTCCCGTGTGTGTTAGAGGTGTACCGCCGGTAACTGGAAAAAAAAAACATTAAAAAGTCAGTTTTTGCTAGAAACAAAGAAAAAAGTCACAAAGGCAAAAAATTATCGAAAAAAAGTCACAGAAAAAAGTCACAAAAATCTCTTAAGAAATATTTTGATTTAATTGTTTAGAACTCTAGAATTACGGGCGTTTATTATTGTGGGTGTTCTTTTTTTTTTTTTTTTTTTTTTTTGGTAGCATGTTTATAAACTTTAAAAGCATTATGGTTTATAACAATAAGTAAAAGTACTATAAGATAATATACACAGCAGTCTCAACATTTGTCACGTGTTTAGTTGACCAAAATTTGACACGATCGTAGATCTAAACGTAGACCAAATCTTGACAGCTTGATACGCTAGCTGGCCTAAGCGCAGTGACGCGTGACGCGGGGAGGTAGATGGAGACCAATGTGAAGGTCTGCTCGAGTTGCTACAACTGATATTGACAACAACAGACTGGAGTCTTGTGTGGACCTGTGTTTAGCTACAAGCCAAGGAATACATTCAGGTAAATAAATGTGTACTATTGCAACTAGCAACAACTGACAGATGTAGAAACCTTCATAAAGCAAGCAAGGTAAAGTTAGGTTAACGAAATTGCATACATAGATATTATATCAAATATGTATTTCTTTAACAACTTTTCCGCGATTCTCGGTAACCGGAAGTGGAATGTATTTCGGTTTTTCAAAAGCCTTTAACTTAACATAAGTACTGTTTTAGTTATAATAGACAATTTATACATAAGTAAAATACCCAATTCTCTGTTTAGTGACGAATTTTGTGTAATTCCCGTTGACCAGAAGCAGTATTTACCCTATTTCCGATTTCTCAAAAAAAGCATATAACTTTATTTTTTAAACTTGATCCTTCTTTCGTCCTTCATAGTTGGAAACTTGCCAACACAATTTCGGACACTTTTAACGGACCGAATTATTTTAAACTTTTCAACGTAAGTAATGACTCGAAGACAACGTATAGCGACATAAAATTTACTTAATTAGATGATTTATAAACTCTGAAAATTAATTTAAGTTTTCTTTACTAATGTCGCGCACGTTGTTTGCTATTCATTTGGTGCGCAATTATTTTTTTTCTACGAGATTCTATTCTATTACAGAAATTTGTTTAAAACTTGATAGTGAAAAAATGGCCACATCCCGACTGTTCTGAGGCTAACATTTCCATTAGTGGTGTCGAAGATTATTTGTGAAAATTTGAGGGAAGATCAGTACCTTTTAAAGGTTTTACAACTATTTAGTTCTCTACTTTTATATAATTTGCCATTCAAGGATCCAAATAGTCGGCGTTTATGTTTAAAAAATTATGACCACCGTATTGTCTTTACATTCTGACTTCAGTTGGTTGCTTCCGACCCCATCAGTAGATTAAACTCGACCATACTAAACTCGCGTTGTCCTCTTTTGATTCGTGTGGTCCTAGTACAAGGCAGCAGCCTCATCTACCCGAGTGTTCGAACTCGAGACTTTTCGATTTAGCGACCTTGAGATTTACCGACTCGACCACTCCGATTAACTTCTCTTGCCTTGTCATCGAAAAGAAAGGTATCTGGAACATTGAAACAGAACATGTAAGCAGAAGTGGATCAAAATTTGACCACAAACATATAGACATAACTACACATTGACAGACAGGGAGACATACAGACAGACAAATAGAATGATATACAGTCAAAGATATAGACACTTATACAAACGACCAGACATAGAGACAGATTGACATACCGATTAAGACGGACACTGAGACCTTAGTTAAAAGAAACTGATGCTTGTGAAAAAAAAAACCTGACTAACGAGTTAACTAGTCCTACAGCTAAAGCTGTATTTTCAACAAATATTTTAAAAACAAGTCACTTTACAACTTACAATATCATCAAAACAAGTCACTTTACAACTTACAATATCATCAAAACAAGTCACTTTACAACTTACAATATCATCAACACAAGTCTCTTTACAACTTACAATATCATCAACACAAGTCACTTTACAACTTACAATATCATCAACACAAGTCACTTTATATCTTACGATATCAACTACCATGTAAGAGAACCTTGGAATCTTGACGTAGCACTAACGTAGGGGTGTGGGCTGGTGGGGTGGGCTGGTGGGCTGCTGGGGTGGCGTGGGGTGCTGGGGTGGGGTGGGCTGATGGGGTGGGGTGGGCTGATGGGGTGGGGTGGGCTGGTGGGCTGGTGGGGTGGTAGTGTGGGCTGGTAGGGTGGGGTGGGCTGGTAGGGTGGGGTGGGCTGCTGGGGTGGGGTGGGCTGGTGGGGTGGGGTGGGCTGCTGGGGTGGGGTGGGCTGCTGGGGTGGGGTGGGGTGGGCTGGTGGGCTGGTAGGGTGGGGTGGGCTGCTGGGGTGGGGTGGGCTGCTGGGGAGGGGTGGGCTGGTGGGGTGGGGTGGGCTGGTAGGGTGGGGTGGGCTGCTGGGGTGGGGTGGGCTGCTAGGGTGGGGTGGGCTGCTGGGGTGGTAGGGTGGGCTGGTGGGGTGGTAGGGTGGGGTGGGCTGGTAGGGTGGAGCCTAAGTAGTGCCGACATGAACGCCTATGACATCAGGAAACACTGTGTGGTCAGTTAGCGTGGACAACATGTATGGCACTGTCTTGTTTTCCAGAACCCTCACCATGTCTATCGTAGTGGGACTCAAGACGTCCTCCATCTTGGCCAAGATCTGCATGCTGCTCATCTTTGTATCAACTGTGGCTAAGTAAGTGGGCCCTTCATTTGATCTCAATTTGTTTTGGGAATATGATTGATATGATTGGATGAATTCATTGTTTCATCGACTAATTAGGTTTGTCTAGTAGACTCACAACTCTATTAATAGACGTGTTAAATGGAGAACAGAAACTGCGATTGAGCGAGATTGTCGAATAATGCTGCTGTTTTCATTGCAGTTGGATCTCTTTCACCACAACATCCTGGGGGATAAACAACAGTAACACGTGGTACACGGGGATCTGGAGGAAATGTACGGCGGACAGATGTGCCATGCTGGACGGTGTCACTGTAGGTCAGTCCAGGTTAATTAGATTCAATCAGTAGTGAGCTAATTAACAACGGTCAGTGAACGAAACTGCGGCCATTGTTCATTTTGTTCAGCCTATGTGTATGTCCAGCAGCTAGTTAATGACGTCACCACTCTCCACAGTGTGGTTTGGTGTGTTCCAAGCTTTTGCCGTCCTCGGCTTCATGGGCATCAACGTCGCCTTCGTCGTCATAGCTCTCTACATCTTTGGGGGTGACCTACGGGGCAACAGGGAGGCGGGGACGGTGGCGGCGGTCATATGCATCTTCACCTGTAAGTCTTTATAGGTCACAATAGGTCTTTATAGGTTACGTTAGGTCTTTATAAACGTTAGGTCTTTATAGACGTTAGGTCTTTATAGGTCACGTTAGGTCTTTATATGCTTTAATGACCAGAAACCAGACAGGTAAGATCTTTGGTGCAAGGTCCTTCGTGCAAGGTCTTTGGTGCAAGGTCCTGATTATTTACCTGCCACATTACTTGTCACACACCTGACAATATCAGACGTCTGACATTGTCAGGTCATTACAATAACGTGTTTACATTGTCACTGCCTTATATAACGTGTTTACAGTCTCACTGTGTTATATAACGTGTATACAGTCTCACTGTGTTATATAACGTGTATACAGTCTCACTGTGTTATATAACGTGTATACAGTCTCACTGTGTTATATAACGTGTATACAGTCTCACTGTGTTATATAACGTGTATACAGTCTCACTGTGTTATATAACGTGTATACAGTCTCACTGTGTTATATAACGTGTATACAGTCTCACTGTGTTATATAACGTGTATACGGTCTCACTGTGTTATATAACGTGTATACAGTCTCACTGTGTTACATAACGTGTATACAGTCTCACTGTGTTACATAACGTGTATACAGTCTCACTGTGTTACATAACGTGTATACAGTCTCACTGTGTTATATAACGTGTATACAGTCTCACTGTGTTATATAACGTGTATACAGTCTCACTGTGTTATATAACGTGTATACAGTCTCACTGTGTTATATAATGTTAGTTATACCACGTGTGCTTTGATATTTATTGCGTTCTAATCTGACCTTGACCTTTCAGCAATGTTCTGGCTAGTGGCGGTCAGTGCCTTTGGTGCCGAGGTGGACCTGGAGATTGGCCTGGTCAAAGACCTGGACAAGCTGGGCTTCTCTTACGGGCTGGCTGTGGCTGCTCTAGGCATCGAGCTCATCACAGGCCTGCTCATGGTCGTAGAGGTCATCACTAGCGCTTGACGTCATTAGTAGAGGTCATCACTAGCGCTTGACGTCATTAGTAGAGGTCATCACTAGCGCTTGACGTCATTAGTAGAGGTCATCACTAGCGCTTGACGTCATTAGTAGAGGTCATCACCACCGACTGACGTCATAAGTTTATGCCACTCATTTCAGCAAAGTCGGGCTGAAAAAAAAAGACTTTTTCCAGAAGTTTCCACGAGCACTTGACTTCATTCATTTGATTTAGGGTTTCTCTATCCTCCACAAATTGCCAGTAAAACACTCAACCCGTCATGTCCCGTGTAGCACCTGGGGTTCGGGTTGGGGTTCAGTGCAATAGTTCTATAACTTTCTGCTTGCGTTCTAATTTATCCACAACCCCCCCCCCCCCCGCCCCCTTTGTTCGCCAGACAGCCCCAATCAACACGTCAGTAATAAGTATCTCAAATGTACCCTAACCCTAATCCTTACGCTAATCCTTACGCAAATCCTTACGCTAATCCGCCTTTGATTGGCTCACAGTATAGTCCTGCTCTCGCATTATATACTCTATACATATACCTACCTATACAAATACCTCCCTATACATATATCTCCCTATACAAATATCTGCCTATACATATCTCTCTTTATACTAAATTCTGATGTTTGTATTTGGTAAAATCTTAGTTTAGCGTCGTAAATTCCAACGTAGCTAGTAATGTGCGATGAAGGTAACTAATGAATATTTCTTTCATTTGGCCATATTTATGTCATATTTTACATAATATAACAGATAATTGAATAACAAATCACAATCCAAGACCAAATCAGTCATAAATATCCTGGAATAAACTTTAAACTACTCCGTTCGAGACAACAATAAGTAAATACAAGCAGCGGCCATGTTTTAAAAACAATAAATTGTCTATTCGCATGTCTTTTGTGTTGATTTTGTGGTTTAATATGATTGTTTTGTATTGCTTTAATATATCCCGTGGTCGTCCATAAATGACGTCACACTCGTAGGGGGGAGGGGGGTCCGTAATTTTGTGATGATGGGGAGGGGGGGGGTTCAGATGGTGCGACATCACACTTTTGCATTTTAAAAAAGCAATGTTAGAAAACGAATTTTAGACGTTATTTTGCGTTTTAAAAAACAGTTTTAATACATTGTAATAACAATTGATTAAAATACTCTATTTTGACAGAGTTCAGACAAGATTTTGGAAAAATATAGCTGTTTAAAAAAAATTCAACTGCAATTTTGAGGGGGGGTTGTAAGTTGTAGGCTGAAGTGTGACGTCATTTTAGGGGGGGGGTCTGGCTTTTTGTGACGACGTGTGACGGAGGGGAGGTGGGGGGGAGGTAAAAATCGTCAAAAAAATCAGACTTAATCCAAGACCACAACAATTGTTGGGAGGTCGAACTTTTGAACACTTTATTTGCAGTAAGCAAATCAATATTAGATCGCTCATAAATGACGTCGCTTTTAAGATAGTAATGACAGCGTGCATTATTACAGAGCAAAAATATGAACATATTGTTTCAGATAGAATTGTGATTTGTGGTGGGGAGAGGTTGAATAGAACTCAGCGATGTGATTTTGGAGACGGGTCGGGTTTTTTTTTTTTCGTGAAAACGGGATGGTTGTGGGAGAAAGACCAGCTGTAGAAGTATGACGCGTCATTCATTGGTGATCCATTTTCTCAGTGGGGACGAAAGAACTATTAAGAAGGAGTCAAGAAATGTAAAAAGCTTGCCGAGTCGCATTTCTTGAACCCCACCTTTTTCATTCCCCCACTTAGCACATCGTCACCGAGTTAACGCTCGCACGTGACGTCATGTAGCGGTACTGCCGACCGTTAGGCTAATTTTATAGAAAAAAAAACAACAAGCACTGCCTTTTTGACGCTTTTGCGACGATTAATTTGATTACATAAGTTGGTGTTCATTAAACACATCTATCACACGTCCATTTAAACGTACGTAATTATTTCTGCAAGCTTGCTGCCTTGAAACTTTCGGCCATTTAAAAATGTATTAACTTAGCTCTCACCGTATAGAACTAGACTACCCATATTAAGCTCCAAAAGAAGCTTGGTGAAAACAGGATGGCCGTCCGATTTTGAAGCTGCCCTGCGCTTTACAAAAACCACAATAAACGATAAGATGACACTTATTAAAGTAAATTATAGTTCTGAATCTTGATACATTAAAAGTGATATTCGAAAATTAAGAGCCAGACAGTCAACATGATATTTCAATTTAAGTCCAAGAAAATAAATTTCCTCAAACGATGGAACATTACTAAATTTTCGCGCAGTTTAGCGAAATTGAATTGAAGTATTTACGTCATCTTACAAAGCGTGATAGCCTACTGGTGCTCTAACGCGGCCCATGCTAATGGCCGTATTCCTAACGCCCCGCATTAGACGCGGCTTATTCGTCGGCAGGCATTTGGTGGCAAGCCTTTTTGACGGGGATAATGTGTTGCGGCCGTTTTGCCGAATGTCTTAAACTAGCAGGCTTGCAACATTTGTGATGATTCGTTTTAAGCAAGGTATACGTATACTAATGCTTATTTATAGTTTTTTTGATTGAACAAAGCATTATAGAGGTTCTCTATCAACCATCTAGGTATTTTCCCCCGTTCACCTTCTTTCATGAGACCGACACGTCATAAATTGCGGAGCCGCCTGAGTTGACGTCACAAATCTTCACTCACTCCCATAGCAAATCATATGTGACATCATTTATCTTAGATAAGGCAGAGTGAAGCGTAATTTTTTACATTATGACTTGTTGTGACATTGGCGACAAAAATATGACGGAGGTTGGGGTTTAATTAAGGTAAAGAGAAGTAAAAAAAATGTCATAAGTTACGATAGAATTACTAATTGATGAAAAGAAAAACCTGAAATGAAATAGTGAACATTCAAACAATAAGAAAAAACTCACAAATATTTAGTAATAGTAAGATCAAATAAACATTAGTAAAAAAAACGTGATTGAATACATGGATACAAGCTGCATCTCACAATGCTTCTAGAATTAATAAAGTTGTTTGTTAGGAAATTCACATTTAAAAAAATGCTTTGTAATACGGACTACACAACAAGACGATCATATTTAAATACATTTTCATATGAATAGAAATTAAAGGGAAGCTACTCTCAATAACATTTTCTTAAGATGGCTGCTGTTTTTAATAGCAAATTTACTATCTCGAACAGGGTTGATAAAAATTAATTTCAGGATATTTAAATTGATTTAACCATCAATGGTGATCTATTATTCAATTATCTATGATATTTTATCAAAATATGCGAAAATATACTCATATTTAATGACATATTCATTAATTCACTCTCTCCCACATTACTAGTTTTGGCCGAATTTACGACGCTAAACTAAGATTTTACCTTGTATTTTATTGTACTTTTACTCATTGGGATAATATAAATAAAATATTCACTAACTACATCTTATGTTCAATTTATTATGTCTTCCTGTCTTCATGTGTGCCAGTGTGTTTGTATTGTGTGTTTGTTCAGTGTGTTTGTCCAGTGTATTGGTTTGTCCCGTCACACAACACTGGCTCCCCCCCCTACCCCACAGTCCTCCAGTTGTCGATGCTAGATCTACACCTGGTATAAACGCAGTAGAGCGTGACACAGTCCTCCCCTCCATCACACACACACCCACACGGTGACACCCACCAGAGCAGGTCTTGACCTAAATATTTTTACGTTCGCTTCAGTGGGGGTTGGAATCTTACCTTGTGTATCAGTTGTCTGCATAACTAGCTGGCTGGATGGTGAGGGGGTAGGGTACAGGAGTGAGAGGGGTGGGGTACAGGAGTGACAGGGGTGGGGTACAGGAGTGACAGGGGTGGGTGGGGTACAGGAGGGACAGGGGTGGGTGGGGTACAGGAGGGACAGGGGTGGGGTACAGGAGTGACAGGGATGGGGTACAGGAGTGACAGGGGTGGGGTACAGGAGTGACAGGGGTGGGGTACAGGAGTGACAGGGGTGGGGTACAGGAGTAACAGGGGTGGGGTACAGGAGTGACAGGGATGGGGTACAGGAGTGACAGGGGTGGGGTACAGGAGTGACAGGGGTGGGGTACAGGAGTGACAGGGGTGGGGTACAGGAGTGACAGGGGTGGGTGGGGTACAGGAGTGACAGGGGTGGGTGGGGTACAGGAGTGACAGGGGTGTGTGGCGTACAGGAGGGACAGGGGTGGGTGGGGTACAGGAGGGACAGGGGTGGGTGGGGTACAGGAGGGACAGGGGTGGGGTACAGGAGTGACAGGGATGGGGTACAGGAGTGACAGGGGTGGGGTACAGGAGTGACAGGGGTGGGGTACAGGAGTGACAGGGGTGGGGTACAGGAGTAACAGGGGTGGGGTACAGGAGTGACAGGGATGGGGTACAGGAGTGACAGGGGTGGGGTACAGGAGTGACAGGGGTGGGGTACAGGAGTGACAGGGGTGGGGTACAGGAGTGACAGGGATGGGGTACAGGAGTGACAGGGGTGGGGTACAGGAGTGACAGGGGTGGGGTACAGGAGTAACAGGGGTGGGGTACAGGAGTGACAGGGATGGGGTACAGGAGGGACAGGGGTGGGGTACAGGAGTGACAGGGGTGGGTGGGGTACAGGAGTGACAGGGGTGGGGTACAGGAGGGACAGGGGTGGGGTACAGGAGGGACAGGGGTGGGGTACAGGAGTGACAGGGATGGGGTACAGGAGGGACAGGGGTGGGGTACAGGAGTGACAGGGGTGGGTGGGGTACAGGAGTGACAGGGGTGGGGTACAGGAGTGACAGGGGTGGGGTACAGGAGTGACAGGGATGGGGTACAGGAGTGACAGGGGTGGGGTACAGGAGTGACAGGGGTGGGGTACAGGAGTGACAGGGGTGGGGTACAGGAGTGACAGGGGTGAGGTACAGGAGTGACAGGGGTGGGGTAGAGGAGTGACAGGGGTGGGGTAGAGGAGTGACAGGGGTGGGTGGGGTACAGGAGGGACAGGGGTGGGGTACAGGAGGGACAGGGGTGGGGTAGAGGAGTGACAGGAGTGGGGTAGTGACAGGGGTGGGGTACAGGAGTGACAGGGGTGGGGTACAGGAGTGACAGGGGTGGGGTACAGGAGTGACAGGGGTGGGTGGGGTACAGGAGTGACAGGGATGGGGTACAGGAGGGACAGGGGTGGGGTACAGGAGTGACAGGGGTGGGTGGGGTACAGGAGTGACAGGGGTGGGGTACAGGAGGGACAGGGGTGGGGTACAGGAGTGACAGGGGTGGGGTACAGGAGTGACAGGGGTGGGTGGGGTACAGGAGTGACAGGGGTGGGTGGGGTACAGGAGTGACAGGGGTGGGTGGGGTACAGGAGTGACAGGGGTGGGGTACAGGAGGGACAGGGGTGGGTGGGGTACAGGAGTGACAGGGGTGGGTGGGGTACAGGAGTGACAGGGGTGGGTGGGGTACAGGAGTGACAGGGATGGGGTACAGGAGGGACAGGGGTGGGGTACAGGAGTGACAGGGGTGGGTGGGGTACAGGAGTGACAGGGGTGGGGTACAGGAGTGACATGGGTGGGGTACAGGAGTGACAGGGGTGGGGTACAGGAGTGACAGGGGTGTGGTACAGGAGTGACAGGGGTGGGGTACAGGAGGGACAGGGGTGGGGTACAGGAGTGACAGGGGTGGGTGGGGTACAGGAGTGACAGGGGTGGGGTACAGGAGGGACAGGGGTGGGGTACAGGAGTGACAGGGGTGGGGTACAGGAGTGACAGGGGTGGGTGGGGTACAGGAGTGACAGGGATGGGGTACAGGAGGGACAGGGGTGGGGTACAGGAGTGACAGGGGTGGGTGGGGTACAGGAGTGACAGGGGTGTGGTACAGG